ATTCCATGCTCTGAACAATACGGAAATGCTGATTGTGCCACAGACTGGCTTGTAGTAAAACCACAATAAATGTTTCATGACGCGGTGGAATCAGGAGCTGGTCAATTTATTGTCACACAGAAAAATATTTTTAACGTATCTTAAAGCCACAGAAAAAAACACAGTTTCCAATCGTTCAGAAAACTGCCAGTTTCTTTGATTTCATTATTTTGATGAGCCCCTGATTTCACCTCGGTACCTCACAAATTATAGACACACTGGAGATTTCCTATACATGGAAAATTGAAAGTGTTTTTACATACCCACAGTTCTGTTTTCCACCTTTCTCGGCTGGCTGGCACTGCCCAAAACACTCTCCAGTCTTTTCTTCGCAAGATCCAGCGCCCTCTGAGCCGCCACTTTTTTCCTCCTCACCACAGCCGGCGCCATCACGCGGAAGCCCTCACTCCCCAAACGTTCCACACGCTCCACCTGCTTCAACTCTTCCTCGGCTTCTCTGACACGTTTCTCCGCAGCGCTCACAACACTCTCTTTGTTTTTTCCCACATCTGGTGAACCAACACGGCCCTCCTGTCTATACGTATTTATTGACATACCTGGTAGCGTACCATCGTCTCCCAGGCTTTCTTCTCTCTTCAGGTCGGTCATCATGTCCTTGAGCCGCCGGTCAGTGTCAGAAAGTCGTCCGTCTGATTCGGTGTTTTTCGACACGGCGTTGTCAAATCTCTCAGGCACCGCGAAGTCCGAAGCAATCATCTCCGACATTTTCTCTCGATCTCCTTGATTTTCCCCTTGCATAAGAACGGCCAGATCTTCTTCTTCATTGACAGCAGCTCTCCGTTTTTGCCTCTCCTTGACCAGAATATCTTGATGGGCCACATTGATGTCTGCAGAACTTGGCCACTTTAGAAGTTGAACTTTGTCTGTCTTACTAAAAGTATTGTTGCTCAAGATTGATGAACGATTGCTCTGTCTTGTGTGCGCTTCCCTCCATTTGTCCAACCTTGAGAGAGTCTTTCTAGGCATTATATTTTCATTACTGTTTTGGGGAATTCTGTTCTGTTCAGAATAATTATATTTATCATTTTGGTGAATTTTTGACTTTCCGGTGGTGTCCGAACTGTTCACTTCTTTAAGCAGATTTATTTTCCCACCAGGAACAGATGTTTTGTGCCAGACTAACGGTATCTGCTCATGACTGAAGTTCCTAGGAGGAGGCTTAGAATTAGAGGCGACAAGCTGTGTCAGATGGAAACTGTTCATGTCCTTCTTTTGGAGCCCTGCACTTGGCAGATTGTGAGAAATTGATTTTTTCTGACCCCAGTTTCTTTGTGGCTTTGTGGAAAGCATATAAGCTGAGACATTTCCATAAAGTATATTTCCATTACGTAGCACTCGAACGTCTAACCAACGTTTGACATTTCCCTGATCGTTCTGAAGGAAACCCAGGGGCACAGTGCAGGAAGGCAGATACCTGTAAAAACAAAACAAAACACTCGAGTACATTATAATTACGACTATGTCTATCATAAGATCTTAATCTAGAGTTGTTGAACCCTTTGTTCCCAAGAGACTGTTGTCATTGGCCGATAAGAATGCGGCAGTTTAATTTCAAATAGACACCAAAATAACCCAGTTTGTTCAAAGTATGACTAGTATTCTTTAAATTAGGCTAGATTTCTAGTTGTTAAATTTTCTCCTAGTTGGTCTGTTCAATTGGTTTGTTGATACTTTGTTAAATGAAAAGAGCTGTTATTCTATTTTTTTTTCCAATTGTGCATTGTTTCCGTTTGTGGCTGTATTGTAACTTGTAACGATAAGGAAGAACGTACTTTTCTGAACCTTATAAGGATATATCTAGGCCTATGTGTAAGGGTAATACTTTAAACTCTACTTTGGAGCAAAGATAATATAGATGCACAATATAAAGAAATCAAAAGCCATTACAATTCGTTAGGCCTAGATCATGGTGATACAGTTAGATTCTGCAAGTATAAAAGACAGCGATCATAGCGTTAGTCAATCAACCTTTTCAGTACCATACAACCTTACCTACAACGCAGAATGTGCCCAAAGTTCCCTCTCTCAGAGTTCCACAGCCACTGTACCTCGATGTTGCTGACAGAGTCTGTCAGAGTGTGGAGAAAGCTACAATTGCGTGAAGAAGAGACAGTGATGTCCACCTTGACATAGCTTCTCGTGTCGTTGGCCAGAACTCCTGCCTTACACACAGGTCTCACAATTTTCACAACAGTGCAGCCATTTTTCATAAAACCTGAAAAAGAAATCACAGAATCTAGATCTAGATATAGGTCTAGATCTAGAGCACAGCAATTGGGTAGAAATTGGGTGACCAACTAGATCTAGATCTAGAGCTCAACGTCCCATGAAGTGTGTGTATGTCATGTTCTTTTGTTGGCTTGAATGGTGTAATAAGGCCTAGATCTAGATTCTAGATCTAGAATCTAGATCTAGATCTAGATCTAGATCTAGAAATCTAGCCTAGATCTAAAACAAAGTTATTTTAAAGTAATGGGCACCATAAACGTGTCATCTGGATTCAGTAGTAGGCCTATGCTTTACTGCCGGTTAAGTGAAAGAGAGTTTGTAGGCCAACAGACCATATAAAAAGACAGATATGGATAGATCTACTCACATCTGAACCTCGGTAAGCTTCGGCCTAGGCGCCCTAGATCAAGAGGATCCAGCCGTGTCGCTGGGGAGCTAGTGCTGGTCCGGGACTCGTCAAACTTATGTGGGGTCAAAGTCGATATTGGGCTGCCAGAGTTTAAATAAGAAAGCAGACACATGCCTACAAAGTACTCAAACAGTGCAGGAGTCCGTACGAACAGAGGCATGCCGTATAAAAACTAATAAAAAGCACACTCAATGTTTTCATTCTGTCTTTCTCACTACAGTAGGAGGCTAGATCTAGATCTGGATCGAGTGAGCGTGAGTGTCCATGGAGACGATAATATTTATGTTTAAATTTAAAAACAAAACCTTGGTGGCGGCAGGAAACAAAAGTATAATAATTTTTCATTACAAAAACTATGATCAATTATCTGCAAAACGAATCTATTCGAGTACGGCGAAACAAAGTTCGTTCCTGAGTCTATAATTTAAATATATATACGTGTGTATAATATTAAAATTATAGATCAGGTTTTAAAAAAAACCCAAAAAAACCAACCCTTTATTTCTTCATCAGCATGCACTTTATCTACGAAGTGGTTTATTTCTTATTGACTGAATCAAAGTGTATATATAGATCATCTAGGGCCTATAGAACTTTTGAGAAGTAGGCCTATGAAATTGAAAAGATGTGGGTGTCATGGGGACCTCCCAACCACCCAACCCTCTCTCTCCTTCCGAATCCCAATTCCACCCCCCCCCCCCTTTCCCTCCTCAAATGCATGAGTTTGGCATCAAATAAAATCAAGATGAGCCATTAAAAAAATTCCTGAGTTTTTCTGCCATAAGGGGTAGGAATGCAATATATTGAAGCTCTTGGTAAAACTAACTCTGTCAAACAAATGATGAATACATGTATTTTAAGTTAATTTTATTCAAAAAGTCGATTTAAACTTTCCATTGTGACATTTGAAAAGTAAACTGTATTTTTCATTCTTGTGTCCGCTTATTTTTGCGAATTATACCAAATAATTAGTGTTTTCTTATGTGGTTTTAAACTTTGGTTTATATTGATTATAAGAACTAAAGTAGATCATTTACAGCACTTAAACTAAAGCTCCTTCTATTGCTGTTTTAAGTAAGTCTACGTTTGGGCATTAGTAAAACAACTGTGATCACAACTTTGGATTTACTAAAGATAAAAAAGTGGAATTAATGTTGTTTTGTAGCCATGTCAATTGTTTGGGGGGTTTTTCCACTACAGTGTAGTGATAACTGAAACAAAAACCTTTACTAAGGTGTTTTTGGACAACATTCAGTAGAATTACTGCGTGACCACTGAAACTGATCCCCAGCCTGTCTGCATCACGGGTACAGGAAAAGAACATGTTTGTTCTTATTGTGACGTACAGAGCCAGTGTTTTGTTGAATATGTAACATTAAAAAGTACACTATTTGAAACTTTGTCTCCTCTAATTCTTCCCCCCCCCCCCTCACCTCCTTTGCCCCCGGGCTCCTGACTCTTTCTGCAGCCTTTCTACTGCTACTCCTTGCATGGGCTCCTTCTAGGTTCTTACTGCTGTCTTTCAGCCACACCCCTGATCTTCTGGAAGGAAAGATCTACACTACTTAGCCTTCTCGTACAAGGGTGAACAATCTCGGAGGGCCTGGGTGCAAGTTGCGCACGTTAAAGATCCCTTGGTGGTCTAAAATTGATAACAGTAGGCTTCGGCCGTCACCCGGACAAAATTTAAAATCCCACCAACTGTAAAAGTTCAATGTGTCCCGCGTGCTCATATATTATTATTATTATGACCTTATGCAGTAGCGAACACCGTAACAGACTACCTAAAAAAATTAAAAGATAAAAAAAACTACACTTAGATCGCAGGTAAATCGCTTTCGTCGCAAAGAGACATGGTGGATTTATGACGAGGAATCTCCTCGACCGTAAGAAAACTGGACGACAGAGTGGAACGTGTGTACAGAAGATACAGTTCGATTTAACGGACAGTTCTCGCATACGACGAATCTGATACAAATAAATCACACACACACTCACACACACACACACACACACACACACACACACACACACACACACACACACAACACACACACACACACACACACACACACACACACACACAACACACATAAACACACGCGCGCGCGAATTTATTTATTTTTGTATTCCCCGAAGAGAATATTAACAGAGATGAGTGGTCTGAGCGAGTTTTGTTTCGTTATAAAGAAGGGCAATTACTTTTAGTCACAATGTTTCGTTTTTACATACTTCCGGAAATCCAAAGTTTCTATTTTTTAAGTTCCGATGTTTCTTCAAATTGACTATTATCTGAATCTTTCCGAAGAACGAACGAAAGCGTCAAGCGTCGGTAGTCGGTAGTCGGTAGGTCTAGATCTAAATCTATACTCCTACTCCTACTCTAGACTCCAGTTGGATTCTGCCTCAGCTGTTGGTCAAGTCCGAGTGAACCCGTGCCTTGTATTTGTTTCGAGGGATAAGGTATTGTATAACCTAGGATTAAAAATTCCACTTGTTTTTAAACAAGTCAAGGGGGGTTTCAGAGGGGCATGACCTAAAACTAAAACAAACAAAAACTAAACATGGGGTGTTTCTGGGGCTGGGGGGCATGACCCCCTGAAGTTTACCACGATTTCATGTTTTGTTTTGCAATTAAAATTAGGTTTGATAGACTATCTCTCCATATCGGCACGCACATCAAAAAGTAATCGTTTGAAACCAAAAGTAATCGTCGGTGGGGTCAAAACTAAATTTGACAAGGCCACCTCTATACTCTGAGTAACTCTATTCTCACCCGGAGTGAGAATAGTGCAGGCGAGTCTTGTGGCTATTCTCACCTGGTGCGCGTTCACCAAATTTTGCGTTCACCCTAAACCACAGAATTCTACACTGTGATAACAGAAAAAACAAACGTTCCATTACAACTGTAGCCTACTAAAAGCGTACAGTTTTGTCTGTGGGCAGTGGAGAGAGAGAGAGAAAGAGAGAGAGGAGTAGCGCGAGAATTTCCGGGCAAAACAAAATGGCGACCCGCGTAGTTCGGCTCGATTCGAAAAGTTAAATAGCCGTAGCATCTTTGTAGACAACCAAATTAATTTACTTTTTTGTGTTTTAACATCATTTTTTAACTTTGTTTTGGTCAATTTGATCGTCCACACCGATAGACAGTATTCAGAAAGAGACAGAGAGAGAGAGAAAAGAGGGGAGGAGTTGATCTTGCCAGAACTTCCGGCGGGTGAGAATAGCCACTTTCATTTGACAAAGCTTTTGCTAAATTTAAAGATGAAAATGTTATGCCAGCCGCCTCATGCCTCATGTAAAAAAAAAATTTATTTTCGCTGAGGTGGGAAAAAAAGGGACATAGTGTTCTGTTTAACCCCTTATTAGTTTAATCTGCAAAGAGACAATTTCATACATTTTTAGTTTACTTTAAAAAATCCCAGTAGTATCCCTGATTATGTTTTACTTGATTTCCCATTCAATTTACAATTATAGATCAAGTCAAAACAAGAATAAAGTAATGAGTCTACAAACTTTTAGAATTATATCCACACCCTTTCACGAAACCCACCTCAATCTTGCACATGTACCTGTGTAAAAAATGTTATTGTTCCTTCATTTTCAGGTCAATTGCCATGCCTCTGGCTTGTATGGCTGTGCTGTAATAGATGAAACTACGCTTTCCAGCTGTCTCAGCTGTTTCAAACATTGCGCGATGGACTCCAGCTTTACCGATATGGACGAGTCTGCTTGTATTGAAACCTGGCAAAGCTTCTACGGAACTTTTCAGACTTCTAAGGCATACATCTCGCACACCCCCGATGGCTCGGAAGTCTCGCTCATCAATGCTGGCACGTCGTTGCTGTATGACACAGGGGGGAGTTACGCTTCGGAACTTTTCCAGAAATGTGGACTGTTTGGAGGCGATGTGATCAAGCTGAATTACCTTCTGTGGAAGCTGGAGGAAGTGTGCCTGCCAAAGATTGCTGTCATGTACGAGCGCTTTAGACGGGCAGAGAGTAGCATGAAAGCGGAGCCAATAGAGGCTAGCGATACTACCACGAGGGCCCACACATTGATAAACTTTGATGGTAAAGAAGTGTACAAGGGTCCTGCTGCCCTCATGTCTGGGGAGGCTGGCACAGTTTTACCACACAATCTGGCAAAGACTGATGAAAACCGTCAACATGCGACCACAAGCAGCAGTGTCGTGTGTGATACCCCAGAGGGAAAAGGTCATGGTGTAGGAGAGTCCGTGGGTTACGTTGATAAGACAGAAGAGAATTCCCTGACTGGCTCTGCTGGTGGCAGCAAGAGGGAAGGAGGGGGGATAACTCATCGAGAGAAGCTGGTGCCGGACAGGAGGCCCAAGGGAGGCGGAAAGAGAAACGTTCAAAAGAAGGTAACCAGAGTGTTGCAGGAAAGACAGCCAGAGTCCGAAATTGTGAAGGTGAAAAGTGAAGTTGGAAAAACTGATCAGCGCGACGGTGAAGGGCTTGGGATTCGGAGGAGTTCTCGTCAGGTCAGAGTTTCCTCCAAATTTTCCGATGCAAAACAAGTGACCAAGTGGATAAAGAATGTGTTGAAACCGGAAGTTTTATCTTCTGCCACGACTGGTAACGGAGACTCCAACACCCCGGCACAAGAGTCCACTGCTCCCCCAATGATGTGCTCAGTGTGCAGGGAAACGTTCCAGTGTAGCGACGAGTTTCTTGTTCACTGGGGGAACCACCTGGATAAAGCAGACAGTGGCGAGAAGAAACCCTTTATGTGTGACATGTGTGGTGAGGAGTTTGAAACGTTTCCTGATGTGGTTTCTCATTACACTGCTCTTCACCCAGGAGGAGATAAATCATACGCCTGTGGTATCTGTGGCAATCACTTTCACTTGAAAAAAGATCTGGAGGAGCACGTTGAAACATCGGGTCACGAACTCAACGGTCAGCACAATGACCATAGTCGCAGGGAGTCAGGTCCAGGGGATTCTGATGAGAAGGTACTCACAAATAGGACTCAAAAGGCTAAGGGGCCGTTTGTGTGTTCACTGTGTGGAAAGCATTTGTCTACTGAGAGGAATCTTGAATTGCATTCTAGGTTGCATAACAACGAACGTGACTTCAAGTGCGGACATTGCCAGAAAGCTTTTATCTCAGAGCAGAGTTTGAAGGCTCATTTAGATATACACACCGGTGAGAAAAAGTTCTCATGCGAAATTTGTGGTAAAAAATTTCGGCAAAAGTCCGGGCTGAAATATCACATGAAACTGCACGATCCAGAAACAATGCCTTTTAAGTGTGATCTGTGTCCTAAATCTTTCATTGAGAAGCGCTGTTTGGACAGTCACATGGCTAAGCACAATGGCCAAAAGTCGTTCTTCTGCGATGTGTGCGGCAAAGGTTTCTACGGAGAGAAGGGCCTGTCCAATCACATGAAACTGCACGATGAAAGTTCCAGGTTCCGCTGCGAGGTGTGTGAGAAATCATTTGTCAGTAACAAACACCTGGAGCTTCACCAGACTGTGCACACCGGGGAGAGACCTCACATTTGCGATGTGTGCGGCAAAAGTTTCCGCTTGCAAGGAGGCCTGGTGGCCCACCTCAAGATTCATAACCCAGAGGAGCAGATGAGGTGCACGCTGTGTTCGAAGACGTTCATCGAGAAGAGGAGCTTGGAAAACCACATGCTGGTCCACCAGGGAATCAAGCCGTACAAGTGCTCTGTCTGTCAGAAAGGTTTCCTCAGAGAGCAGACGCTCGCCTCCCACATGAATCTGCACACCCGAGAAAACTGCCACAAGTGCGAAGTGTGCGATAAACTTTTCATCACCAAATGGGGGCTCATCAAACACGCTAGCATTCACACAGGAGAAAAGCCGTTTGTGTGCAACACGTGTGGTAAAGGGTTTCGTATCAAAAAGGGGCTGACGGAGCACCTGAAGCTTCACAACAAAGACCTCCAGTTTAAGTGTTCCTTGTGCCCGAAAAGTTTTGTGGAAAAACGCGGTCTGGAGTACCATATGCGTGCGCACAGAGGTGAGAAAAATCATGTGTGCGAGGTATGCGGAGAGCGTTTTGTGAATAAAAACTCTCTGAAAGTGCACTATCGTCGACATACAGGGGAAAAGCCGTACAAATGTAGCTTCTGTCCAAAGACCTTCAGCCAGCAAGGCACGCTCACAGCTCACGAACGCTACCACAAGGGAGAGAAACCCTTTGTTTGTGATGTCTGTGGCGACGGCTTCTACACGCGCAGTCACATGACCATCCACCGTCGCAAACACACGAACGAGCGGCCGTACAAGTGCGACCACTGCGAGTACGCCTCCACCACCAAGTCCATGCTGAAGACGCACATGCTCCGGCACACGACCAGCAAGCCCTACAAGTGCACCTTCTGCTCGGCCGCCTTCAAGCGGCTCCACCACCTGGAGACACACCTGCTCAAACACACGGATGAGGAGCAGCTCATCCAGTGCTCGTTCTGCGAGGCGACGTTCGCCTCGGCCTCCCGGCTGGAGCGCCACATGAGGACCCATGAGATCGTGGTGGTCACGGCGGCGCCGGGTCAGGTCATCTTTGAGCCGAAGCTGGAGGACGAGGATGTTCCCCATGAGGTGGCCTATGACATTGTGTTGCTCTAGAGCTGTGCACGGGACATTTTGGCATGGTTTGGTATAGAGAGGGTGGCATATATATGTGTTCAAAAGAGACTTGGGAATCCCATGGAAAGGTGTTTGTATACATGTGGAATATACATCCTATTGACTTTTTCTTGACTTTGAAGCTGCAGAAATGTGTGTTCTACTACATTTTGAAAGATATATGAGTGTGTAGTGTTGTTCAAGCTGCACATGGCAAAACCAGAAGTAACCAGTTGCCTACTTCGATATTTACCCCATGCTGCTTTCATGTGTGAGGCGTTTTATTTGCGAAAATACTTCGTGTTCCTTTTTTTGAGTCGAACATTTTATATACTATAGGAAAAAACGTTTTGATCTCTTATTGTGTTTCAGCATCTGCGTATAGTTAAGTTTGTGCAATGCTGAGGCAGATAATTATGGCTTTCTGGGAGTAGAAAATGTAGAGTGTGTCATGATATGTACGGTATTGGAAGGTTCCGGGTTCAAATCACGATTATTCTTTGAAAAACTTTTCTTTAATGTAGAGGTATATTTTACGCCCCATCGACACAAGTTAGATAATTGAGGAAACAGGCTTCCCATTTTGCCTGTCAGGGCCTACTCGGGCTGAGAGAGACACAACATCCTAGCAGAAAGTTCTATACGTGTTGAGAAGGGATGACATTGCCCATATTTAGACTTGTCACAGACACAAAAATTAAAATGCCTTCTACAGAATCAAGACTTAAGCTGAAATGACTTGTAACGGTCTATACTGACTGTTTATTTCAAATAGAACTAAGACACAAATGCCCCCCAAAAGGTGATCATGGATGGGTCTGTCTGTTGCTTTCAAGGGGCTTTCTCCACTCTTTCCTTCTAAGAGGAGCAAAAACTGGTGTCCAAAAGTTGACACTTGTATATGTTGTGTTGTTCGTCCTTCGCTTATGAAGATGACCATGACTTCACAAATTAGTCTGTTGATGGTGATTGTGGGTCCGGAGATGGCTGATGAGGCTTATCCGGGCTCTGTAGGTTCCTCGACATTGTGTGCACAGGTAGTCTGTTGTTGGACTTGTGGTGGAGGAAGGGCTAGACTTGCGCATGATGCGTTTTTGTTTGGCCTCTGCAATTCACTTGGCTTCTGCTGCTTTGGCTCCCTTTGTTAGCTTGCAGCGCCACGCTGGACGATCTTGGGCCAGCGTTTCCCACGAGTCGTTCAGGATTCCAAGTTTCTTTAGAGAGACTTTGAGGCAGTCCTTGAAACGTTTTTTCTGCTTGAGCGCTTGCCATGTAGCAGCTCTCCATACATCAGCTGTTTGGGCAACCGGATGTCCACCTTTCTGACCATGTGGCCGGCCTATCTGGCTCGCGTTTGTGGAAGATGATGTAGATGCTGGGGGTTCCGGCTCGCTCTAAACCGCAGTGTCTGGAAGGTTTTATGGAAACTGCTCAGGTGGAATCGATTGAGCTGCTTCACGTGTCTGCTGTAGACAGTCCAGGTCTGGCTGGCGTAGAGAATGATGGTAAGAACCACTGCCGGCTAGTCCTTCAGCTTTGTGGAGAGGCCGAGTCCTCTGTGCTCCCAGACATTCTTGCGACGCCTCCCAAAGGCAGCGTTGGCCTTGGCAACTCTGGTGTTAATTTCAGCATCTATATGAACGGCTCGTGAAAGTATGCTGCCTAGGTAGGTAAAGTGGTCAACTACCTGGAGTTTCTGTCCCTTCACCATGATTTGTGACACTGTGTGTGGTTGTCCGGCGGCTGGTTGGTACATGACTTCGGTTTTCTTGGTATTGATGGTGAGGCCGAAGTTGTCACAGGCTAAGGCAAAACAGTTCATTTCGTTTTGCATACATACCCTCTTCTGTGCTAGCGTTGAGTGCACAGTCATCGGCGAAGAGAAGTTCACTGATGACTGTTTCTTTACTTTCACCTTGGTAACGGCCTGGAAGCGCCTGATGTTGAAGAGCCTGCCGTCAGTTCTGTACATGATACAGATGCCATCCTCACTGTTGTATATTATGGTGGCAATAAGACGTATTAATCACATGTTTGTACAGTGGCGGAGGTCTCCCTTGGTCAAAAGGTTTAGGTGTTTGGCTCTCATTCAAAGGTCAAAGGTTGGTTTCGGCGTAGTTGATGATGTGTGTGGGAGGAACGCCGTCAAGTGTCTTTTGGAGTTCGTCAAAGTAGTCTTTGATAGTGTCAGCAGACACACCTGCTCTCTTTTTAGCGATGTTCTCACAGGCACGGGTTTTCCCACAGTCTTTGTGCCGTGTCATGAAGGACAACAGCCAGTCCTCGCCCGGCAGGTTCTCATTGAAAAAGGGAATTGTTCTGCCCTCTTTTCAATGGTCGACAACTTCCATTATCCTCGTCATAGTATAGGGACGGCAACTTGCATATAATCATCAACACCGTCATCAAAAATCATCATCTTGAAAAGTGTTTTGAGATTTGCTGCAGTTCCACTCTTGCCATAGCACCGTCTTTCAATCGTTTGATTGCCGTCCAGGCCGTGAGAGCCTTAGTAAAAAAAGAACAAACTTAGTTGCCTCAGTTGAGATGGTATCCCATAATCCAGGGAGTGCACGTTGGCGTGCAGTTGGGTCAGCTGGGAGTCCATGTCAGGACATAGTTGTCTCATCACGAAAGAAGTCAGAACTGCACAATCAGTTAAAGTGCACGTTGTGTTACATTTGATGGCCTTATGTATAAGAACTTCTCCTTCTGGTTTCCCGTGAAACTTGGCGCAAATTGCTGCCGCTTTACCAAGGACAGCCCATTATATGGGTCATGTAATCTAAGGCTTTTCCAGTGGTGTTGGTAGCCTAGTGGTTAGGCTACCGGACTGGTAATCGTGAGATTGCGGGTTCAGGGGTTCGAACCTCAGCTCAGTACGACGTTGTCCTTGAGAAAGGCACTTCACACGAACTTCCCACTTGGCTCGGTCCTATCGGAGACGGACGTTAAACTAGGAGGTCCCGCCCCCTTAAATAACCTAATAGTGTTGATAGTGGCGTTAAACCCATACCATTTCACCATATTTTTTTTGTTAGGCTTTTCCACCTGGTAGTGGTAGATAGCGCACATGGAAGCACATGTGCAATGTTGCATTTGCTGTAACATGTGTGTTTCATTAATATGCGAGCCATCCAGTCCTTGCTTCCCATGATAAACTAAACACAAAGGACGATGGGAGAGGAGAAATTCAGTGGTTTGAATTGATGCCAGAATACCGAGCTCATAAATTGACAACTGCACAATCAGTTTAAGTTGAGGTTGTGTTAGATTTGATGGCCACAAGAACTTCTCCCTCTGGTTTCCCGTGAAACTTGGCCCAAATTGCTGCCACTTCACCAAGGACAGCCCATTATATGGGTCACATAGTCTGAGGCTTTTCCACCTGGTAGATAACACACATCGAGGCACATATATGGTGTTGCATTTGCTGTAACATGTATTTCATTTACATACGAGCCATCCACAGTCGTTGCATCCCATGATAGACACAAAGGACGATGGGAGAGGAGAAATTCTGCAGTTTGAATTGATGCCAGAATATTGAGCTCATAGATTTATCATTATGCCATAGATTTATCATTATGCCATAGATTTATCATTATTATAATGCCACTTGTGCGCTTGGTACTAACGAAAATGTTACTTCTTGTAGAATAAACATCATGCCATCTAAGAATGGTCTTCAATGCTGAACAGGGACATCACACAGCAGGGCTTGGTAAACACATGTGCCCATATCCACCGAGTATCTTTTTCCGGTTTTTGAAGATATCTCAACACTTTCAGAGTGTTTTCTCTCACTAGCAAGACAGTGCATGCAGTCATTTGCCTTGCTTGTGTCCATCAGCTGTTTCTCTACCTCCTTAAATTTGTGTCTGCATTCCTGAATCATTTGCTCCAGGGAACAATTTTGCAACTTGATTTTTTGTCTAAATCCTTTTGAGGTGATGCATTTTTCTTTTTTAACTTTGCATTTCTCACTCTTAATCGTTCATTTTCTTTTGTCAATGAATCATTTTGTTTTGACGATGAATCATTTTCTAGCTTCACATCCTTACGAGACCTCTGAAGTTTTCCTACTACCAGTTCTTTATGTCTCTTCTCCCTTTGATGAGCAGTTCGAATCTTGTGAGACTTTTTCATTTCAGCACTGGCTTTGTGGTTGGAGCTGAACAGTTCTCTTCTTCTGGTCCTTTAAAGATTTGAATAAACTATAAAAATTACACTTCTCCATTGACACACAAGAAGTTTGACAGCTTGATCTTGTCTTCACTGGTGGGTCTACAATGTCATCACTCACAACCACACTATCCTCAAATTCCACGTTTGAAGTCGAAAGTGTTTCTACGCTCACTGTTTGATTTAGAAAAGTGAATTCACTTTGAAGAAACACAAGTAAAGAGTCCCTGTTCCTTAGCGGATTTCTCACAAGTTTCTGGTACTGAGTGTGGATTCTTTTAATTCCTCACGAGCGCCTGATTTCACCACCTTACCTCACATTTTATTTCTTTCTTTGAAAGGGCTGATTTGTTCACCTGTTTTTCATCACACTGTTGTGTGGGTATGGGGGTGAAAAACATACATTAGAAAAATTTTCAGGTAGACTCCTTGCTTTAACACAATTATAATTCTACGCACAAACTATAATAGTGTTGTTTGTTTAGTAGGGTTTTTTTTGGGTTGTTTGTTTTGTTTTTATGTTTGTGTCCCTTGTCCAATCCTATCAACTGGTTTGATTGGTACTATTGTATCAAAAAGGGACGCATGCTGCTTGTGGTAGTTATTGATTATTTATTGTACACATACTGTTCCTATATCATCATCTTTTCGTCATCATCATCATCAGATGGCTTGTCTAGAGTCCACATTGGCAGGACTTCTTAGTTTGTCTTCTTTTCTCTCCATGATATTTTTAGCATTCTCATGAGGATAATATTATCCACCACATTTCTGCTGCTCCTACTTCTAATTTTCTTTTAGTATATATTATTATACTGATATCGACTGTCTAGCACTCACACCTGTTATAAGGAATTTCGTCTCCACCCCTTCTCCTCTTTGCCCTCTCCTCTGGGCTCCTGACTCTTTCTACTGTTACTCCTTGGCTCTTTCTTATTGCTGTCTTTCAGTCACATCCCTGATCTTATGGTAGGAAAGATCTACACCTAGCCTTCTCGGACGAGAGCGAAAAATCTCGGAGGTCCCGTGTGCAAGTTGCGCATGTTAAAGATCCCTTGGTGGTCTAAAATAGATTAGAGTAGGCTTCAGCCGCCACCTGGCCAAAATTCAAAATTTCCTACCAACTGAAAATGTTTAATGTGCCCCGCGCGCTCATACGACCTTATGCCGTTGCTAGTGCCGTAAAACACTTACCAAAGGGGAAAAAAAGAATCTTTTGCTGTAGGTATTCGTCTTTGGACTTCTGATATTTTTGATATATATATTAATGTACATTTTCCTTGAATCTCATCATGTAACCCAGGTATTTGGACTTGTTCACTTGTATTTGTTTGATTTGTTGCCCACTACTTCGTAGATTGGGGGCCCCGAGCTTTTTGGGAAATGGCCATGCCCTCCGGTTTTGAAATATTGGGTGCCAGACCCTGTTCTTTCATGTTCGTGTGCTATGGTATATATGCCACACCATCCAGTAGTTTTTGATGGGTTTGTTCTACTTCTGCAATGAAAAATACAATGGAACCATGTATAACAGGCCGGGTAAGAACAAGAATCTGGTAAGAACCAGAATTTTTTAAACCCGCTTTTTCCCCCTGTTATATCAGGTTTCCACGGTAGTATCATTGAATGTGATCTCAGTATGTTGAGGTTATGTCCACCCACACTTTTTCAGAGAGAGAAAGAAAGCGAGAGTGAGAGAGAGAAAGAAAGCGAGAGTGAGAGAGAGAGAAAGAAAGCGAGAGTAAAAGAGAGAAAGAAAGCGAGAGTAAGAGAGAGAAAGAAAGCGAGAGTGAGAGAGAGAAAGAAAGCGAGAGTGAGAGAGAGAAAGGAGATAGACAGAGGGTAGGATGTGTTTGCAAAAGATAGAGATGAATGCTTTCGGGTACATGTAGGCCTACTGTGTATTCCCACTCTTGACATGACATGCTATGATATGATGGCTAATCCTTCCTTTGACAATTTTGCAATAAAGTCAACTGTTATAATAATGATAATATAATACAATCTGTGTTTGTTTTGTTAATTTATTATTTAGTGAGTATGTGAGTCGGAAAGAAAAAGACTTTCTTTAGAGCGGGTTTTGTCTTCTGTTTCTCTGACACATATCGATCTTTACCTTGGGGGGAGGGGGCTGTTGCACCTTCCTTTCTTTTTTTAAAAATCTGTTCAGTAGTTGTATGCTCTCACTGCTATACATGTACTGTCTGGTGTTAGTCTTGACAGTTATCCAAATTGTGTTTGATCCGTTGTTTATCTGTGTACTTGGAGCAGGGAGTGGAGCCAACTTTTTCTCCGACTCTCTCTTCTTTCTCTCCCTGTCTCTTCTTGTGGTGTTCGTGGGTGGTTGGTGGGTGCTCTGGTGTAGTATGCTCCTTCTTTCCTATCAAACATCTATTGTCCTGATCTCTCCTCTTTTTTGTGCATGTTACTCTCTTGTAACACCTCTTAATCTTCGCCACGACCTTATTGTGTTGCTTTCCAAAACTAAGATTTGTAATGTTCAAAGATTTTTGGGGGCTCTCGTGGCCTAGAGGTTAAGGCGTTTGCCTCTCATCAAAGGCTGCGGGTTCGAATCCGGGTAGCAACAGAAAATGTTCTTCTCTAAAATTGTCTCCTTTCTCCTTCTTTTCAGTTTCTTCTCACTTGCAATATTCTCTCGTCTGCCTTCGTCTCCACTTTCTGCCCCCACCCCGTCACCTCCTTTGCCCCCCTCCTCTGGGCTCCTGACTCATAGTCATTCTGCAGCCTTTCTCTACTGCTACTCCTTGTCTCCTTCTTACTGCTGTCCTTTAGCCACACCCCTGGTCTTCTGGTAGGAAAGATCTACACCTCTACACCTAACCTTCTCGGGCAAGGGCGATAAATCTCGGAGGTCCCGTGTGGAAGTTGCGCACGTTAAAGTTAAAGATCCCTTGGTTGTCCAAAATCGATTAAGAGTAGACTTCGGATCCTATAAGGATCTACCGTTTCTCTCTCTCTCTCTCTCTCTCTCTCTCTCTCTCTCTCTCTCTCTCTCTCTCCTAGCGTCTGCGGTGTTGCGTGCAGGAGACCCGAGTTTGATTCCCAAGAGGAGAGAATTTTTATTCGAGTATCGAGGTCCAAAGAAGGCAAAAGTAACACCGTCAAGTGGAAAGGTCACGCTGTCGTGTTTCTGGGATTGTGAAGGTACCATCATGACTGACTACCTGGAAAAAGGGGGGGAAAACAGTCACAGGGGACTACTATTCGGGTTTGCTGATAAAACTGTCGTCCGAATTGGTGAGAAAATGGCGTGGAAAACTCCGTCATGGGGTCCTCCTACAGAATGACAACGCATCTGCGCACAGGGCACAACAAACAGTCCAGACAGCAGAACAGGGCGGCTTTGAAATCCTGCCACACCCAGACAGCCAGCTTATTCTCCAGACCTAGCTCCTTCAGACTTTTTTCTGTTTCCTAATCTTAAGAAATCACTAAAAAAGGACGTCGTTTCCATGACAACGAGGACGCCATTGAACCTGTGGAAGATCACTGGTTATGGGCCCATTCTGGGTCTTTTTTTTTTATCTTTCTCAAGGACTTTTGTTGAAGGTCAGAGTCAGAGATGGCAGAAATGTGTTACCAGAGAGTGGTGTTACTCTGTATGGTGACTGTGTAGAGAAATGAAAGTATGTGTGCCAAGTTACAAAGCTCTTTCTTTATTCCTTCATATTTAGACGAAGACTTCTTGATTTGAACCCCTTAAAGCGAAATGAAATTATTTAGAATAATTAAGAAAAATTAAATATAAAACATCACAAGAACACGAAGACAAAGAAACAAAGACACATGTTTCGTGCGAGGCAACGATTAAGTGCATGTTTTATAAACCACAGGGTGCAAACGTGAGTAATTAAAAACGTGTCTATATACCCGTCGCAGAAAGAGGGATTTCAAAAGGGACTCACTAGAGTCTGGACCATAAACTTTTGTACACTATTCATCAAGTTGTTACAACGCGTTCTTGCAGTTGTTACCAGTTACTTGTTACTAGTACATTTATTTAACTGTTGCGACTGCCCTGCACCTGCGATCATCTCCTAGAAAGTTTCGTCATCGTTGCATGGCCTAGATCTACTCGTGTTTAGGGAAGCGTTCCGACACAACATATTGTCGAAATTTCTTTTTATTCAGTTTTTGCTATTGCTCTGAAATAGCTCAAACTACAATTCAATATGCCGACGATTTCTGTTAAAAGGGATGAGCTGTTCAAAGCTCTGGAACGAACATACAGTAAGTGGATGTGAATGGAAATTTAGCAGACGGTTTTGACTTCACTGCTTCACTCACAACAAAGTCAAAATTAAAAAAGGTGCCGGCGTCAGAGCCTTGTCAGGTTTTGGCTTTTGGTCCCGAAAGTATTGGGATATCGGTAACTATACTTTGTGTTATGGGGGTATGGTAGAGTTTTGAGTAAGGGTGTAATGTTAGTAGTTAATAATAGAATAATACTATTGTTGGGTCCAGGATGGCGGTCGGCTGCAAATCTTTGTCTTGTTGTCATTCTGCCCTAGGTCTAGTTTTGTCCTTTTTTTCCTGTTCTCTATTCCTGTACTGTCACCTCTACTTTCATCACCATTGTCTCCTCCCACCTCCCTGCCTTCTCTGTTTTCTTTTCTCCCTGTTATCTGACTCTCTCTCTCTACAGCTCTTCTTGGCTCCTTCCTCCTATTGCTGTGTTTCAGCCACACCCTTTTGTCTTAGGAGGTAAGATCGAACTGGTAACTTTGTCAGATGAGGGCAAAAAATCACAAAAGTCTTGTGTGCACGTTAAAGATCCCTTCGTGGTCCTAATGTTTAAGTTGGCTTCGGCCACCACTCATGCAAAATTAAACATTAATTCCAACCAACCAAAGCTGTAAAAATAGTCTAGATCTAGTAGAATACATTGGAATCTAGCTGCCTGAAGACAAGAGACCCTATGAAATAAACGGTCACATATATTACGTAAAAAATCAGTTGTACTGCAGGTTGAAGAACCAGCAGTCAACTGTCCTTGAGATCCAACAGGGGAACACAAAGAAAAATGTGGGTATTGAGTTTTTCATGGGGTTTTTTTCCATTTGCTTTCAGCTGATGAGGAATTTGATGAACTCTGCTTTGAGTATGGCCTGGAGTTGGATGAAGTCGTAAGTGACAGAAAATTTTTTATTTGCTGTGAATTGCTGGTTTGTTATTTCAAATCGTAGTACTTGTATTTACTGGACTGTGAAACAGGTTAATGTAATACTTGTTATTTGTTCTGTACAAGTCACTATATTTGCTGCTCGCTGAGGCATATTTTACTTTCAAATCTTTTAGCTCAAGTACTGTAACAAAATCCTGTCCTATTCTTGCCATCGATTTTTTAACATCTTTACAAATACGGATGATAACTGTTTTGCAACTTTTTAATTTAAGGAAAGTGCATCCCGAATTTATGATTTTGAAATCTTTACAACATATTGTTTAGATAATATTTTAAGTCCAAGGTTATGTAATTCAGTGTTGCAACATCATTTGAATTCTCTTCTATTTATTCTTTCATTTCGAATTCATGATGTAGTGTGTGCTTTCCATTTCAGACCTCGGAGAAAGAGCAAATGGAGAGGGAGAAGGGAGTAGGAAAGGCAGTAGGAGCCTCGGAGGTTGTGGAGTACAAGATTGACATACCGGCTAACAGGTATATCTGCTGTATAGTATGACAAGTTACTTTGGTACAATGTGCTCACTTATCTTTATATTTGAATAAACGATTTTTGGTATTTAACTGTTTATCTCCGGCAAGCAGCTCCTAGTGGCTTGCAGCCGGAACCGCTGTGCTGATGAGCCACTGGCAGCGGCTTGGGTGCTTTCCTTTACGACGCCTTTGACGTCAAATTACTTTTCAGCGATAGCCGAAAGAAAGTCTCTTTTTCTGAGAGATCATTCATGAGATGAAGAGATAGCAAAATAGGTTCACTTGTTTTGATTTAGTTCCTAGTTTTGTGACATATGTCAGTTTTAGAAATAAGGCCTTGGCATTATGTGTTCCCCCCCCCAACAGAGATAAAGAGTTAATCCAGCGTTATTGAATACTGGCAGTGTGATTCCACTTTATATTCGTTCCTTCATGTTTGTGTTAACTTGTAGTTAAGATAATAAATATAAAATATGCACTTCATACTTTAGTGCGAAGAGGATGAAAATGTGTTATACCAGTCAAACTGAAATGCACCATTGTTTTTTTGTTGGTTTTTTTAAGTAGAGAGAGAAGATCATAGAAGCAAGGGAATGAGGAAATTTGAGAGGGAAATGTGGATCTGTTTAGTTAGGCTTGAATACAAATATTATAACAAGGAAAGGACAAACTAAAATTTCCATAAAGACGAGACTGCTACTGTCTCTCAAATGAAATTATGTGTTAATTAATTATATATGAACCCTTCTAAATGTTTGTGTTTTTGTTTCTCAGGTCATGCTTCAATTAATATGACGATCATTGATCATGTGTCCTCGGTCTTTTCGTTCTGTCACAAAATGTTGTTCTGACTATGATGCTCTCCACAGATATGACTTGTTATGCGTGGAGGGCGTGAGCAGAGGCCTACGGGTTTTCCTTCAAAAGTGAGTGTTTCTATTTGTGGTGGATAGGCTGTAGATTTCATCGTCTATGTGTGGTGGATAGGCTGTAGATTTCATCGTCTATGTGTGGTGGATAGGCTGTAGCTTTCATCGTCTATGTGTGGTGGATAGGCTGTAGATTTCATCGTCTATGTGTGGTGGATAGGCTGTAGATTTCATCACTTTTACTCCCCTCTGTTTGGAAGAAGTGACCCTTCCTACTAATTACATGATAGACATAGAAAGTAAATAACCTCTTCTCATCTGAAACAGACAGAGATTTTTGTGTTTTAAAGTATTATAACCACAAAGAATTGGGTTACTGTGAAGTGGGTTTGAAGAAGAGGATGGGAGGGTTACAGACTCACTCATCAGGTTGTAAAGAGAATAAGTTTGAACAGCTAGAGTAGATCATTGCTTGACCGAGAGAAAAAAAAACCCCAGACCAAGGGGGCTCTGCATAGACATCTTCAGTCTGGTCCTTAAGCTGTAGGCTTGCCTGAGTCTTGTGCTTCTTCTATGAGATGTAGGGATGGCTGCTTCCCTGTCTAAAATTTTGTAAGTAATTTAGGTAGAACAAAAAAGGAAAAGAGTTATAATGTATATTAATATGTTGTTGTTTTCAAATCCCTTTGGCTGCGAGCATTTCGCTCTTGGCAGCGCAATGCCTCCCTCAAGTAACCACATGTCCTTGTCATCTGGTCAACGCCGGAGTAGAGCAGGCTTTGTAAGTCTGTAGGTGTGTGTATAATGTATATAGACGTCTGCTGATGTTGTTTTTGAATTGGTCGTTTCAGAGATCCCACTCCTCGCTACAAGGCTGTTCCACCAAAGACTGGTGCCCCCCAGAGGCTGGTTATACAGAGTTCTGTGAGTCTTCACTGTGCTGTTTTTGACATGATGTTAGAACAGTTTTCTTCTTTACTGCAGTTCTGGAAGACAAGGGGCTTTCTCTCTTCCTCCCCCTCCTCTCTCCATGTTCCTTACAAGTGCCCTACATTGCTGTGACCAGATTAGGCACTAGTTTATGACCTCCGTGACTCATCTAACAAGGACAACATTTTTATGATTACAAGTATTTAGACATTTTTACGCCCATTTTCAACACAATTTTGATAATTAAGAGGACAAGCTCCCTCCGGGTAATCCCAGGCTGTGTAGGAATTTATATTCAACAAAAAAAGGGGATAGTCAATAAGATAACCCCCATCGGAATCAAATGCACTTCTTTTGCAAGTGAGGTTAAGAGCCTCACCATTACTTTACAGACTCAAATTTGATTTCATTTTTTCTCCTTGATGTTATGCAGTTGCGAGAACTATAAAAACTTGAATTTCCATGAGCCCAGTTGGCATTCACAGATAAAGGTGCAGCAGTTTTTCTGTGGGTAAGATTTAGCAGGCTGTAGGGGCCGCCCTCTGTTCAAAAAGGTAGATCGGCAACAGCGACCATAGGTTAGCAGAAGTCTGTGACGGCGGGATGTCAAAGCATACTGGTACCTTACTGACTTGAAACACCTTGAAGGTTCGGGTCTCTCAGATTGATAGAATGTGTTCCAAGTACACTCATTCACAAAGTTCCTCCTCGTTGTGTTGCAATCTTTTAACACTTGCCGTCACATCTCGCTAATCGGCGATGTTTACCACCCAGTTTCTTTGGATTTTCCCCAAAATGCCTTTGCCTTTGATAGCGAGAATTTTTACTATATGAGCCTTGTGATGGCAAAGTGTTAATTGCTGATTCAATTCAGAACATTTTTGCTTGTGTCCAATGAATTCTATTTTTGTCTCTCACAGACAGCTCAAGTTCGACCGCATTGTGTTGCAGCTGTCCTCAGAAATATCAAGTTCACGCAGGTTTGTTCCAGTTTTGCTAGTGGGGATTTTTTTGTTGTCTTGATATCACTGTGGTTCTAATAATTCTGAATTATGATATGAATTTTTTAAATTATACAGAAAGAAAGACACCCAAGATATTCAGTCTAAGTCAGACAAATGGAGTGTGGAATTGTATCTGAGATATGGGGAAAATGCATCTTTCTATGGAAAAATTAAGAACATTTTATGTAATAAAAAAAACAGCAAATCATGCCCAAGATGCTATGGTGCCTACTCCAAAGGTGCATAATCATTCATCCCAACCAGAAAATAGTTTTGAATTCAGGAATTGCTTTTTTTTTAGATATGTAATATACTTTATAAAAGCATTTGATGTCTTACATTTATACTACCCCCCGGGGCGGTGCTACTGACTGAAGTGTCTTAAGGCCATTCTCAAGGGGAGGGGGGGGGGGCATGAACATCGCGAGTTCTTATGTAAGGTAGAATTGTAATTGTAAATGGGCTGATTCATCAAAACCTCCATTTCTTTTGTATGTTTGTCACACTCTTGTGACCCGCTATTTCCGGGGTGCCTTCATAGTCGAAGCAGACTTTGTGCTGTTGAAGCTAGAGAGGTGAGCAGAGTAAGTCTGATTCCCTGTAAGGACTTCTGTGTTGACATCCACCCCTTATCGCAGTTGCGAGCACCGTAAAACCTCTACTAAAACAAAAAAATACTTTTTTTAAACCTGTTTTTTGTCCTTGTGCAGGAGAGGTACGAAAGCTTCATTGACCTTCAAGACAAGCTTCATCAGAATATATGCAGGTAGAGGTTCTGTGTTCTTTTTTAAGTCAACTCGAAACTCCACAAGTAATGTTGTTATCAGATTCCTTTTGAACAATTGGCTTTCATTTTTTTTTTTTCTCCCCTAGGTGTGTGTATTTGTTTTAATTGGTGGGGGTGCGGATGTGTGAATTCTTGAATTTCTTGAAATATGAAATAATAATGATATACTTACCATCATTTTTTGTTGGTTATGAAATGAGGGGGGGGTTTGGTTTTGATGAAATAGTCAGTTCCTGGCTAACTGTGGTGATTATCTGGCTGGCCGTCTATAAAACCTAACGCTGCTGAATTCAACTTAATTTTCTGAATGCTCTTCTCAATGACACAAACCATATACATTATCTTCCTTTCCCCCCCCCCCAGCGTGGGTGGTTGGCAGGTGCTCTGGTGTGGTTTGCTCCTTCTTTCCTATCAAACATCTATTATCCTGATCTCTCTTCCTTCTTTTTTGTGTTTGTTACGCTCTTGTAACACCTCTAGTCTTCGGCACTTATATGACCTTATTGTGCTGCAAGTGCCGTAAAACTCTTACTAAAACTAAACCATATACATTATCTTCCTTCCCCCCGGCTGTCAGGCGACGGGCCCTGGTAGCCATCGGTACCCACGACCTTGACACGATTGAGGGCCCGTTCAGCTACGAGGCGCTGCCTCCGTCACAGATCAAGTTCAAACCTTTGGGTCAGGAGCAAGAGTACACCGCGGTGGAGCTGATGGAGCTGTACTCGGTGAGAGTTGGAGGGGAGGACTCTGATGAGATAGATAGAGGGAAGATGAGATACTACGAAGAAAGATAGAGTAAAGATGAGATATGGCTGAGATAGACAGAGTAAAGATGAAATACTGCTGAGACAGATAGAGTAGAGATGAGATATGGCTGAGAATAGACACAGATCTTTCCCATCAAATATCTGGCATCCTTTTTTTTCCGCCTTCTTTTTTGATGTTTCTTACTCTCTTGTAATACCAGGACGGTGCTACTGACTGAAGGCCTTTCCCAATGGGGGGACATTAACATGTTCTTATGCACAGTAGAATTGTAAATGGGCTGATTCATCAATGTCATGCTCATAACTGTGCCTGAACTGCGACAGGGAACTGCAGCTTTTTCTTTCCTAATCCTTACTATCGTCATTTTTCCTCTTCTGAAAAAATCATTCCCAACATCATCTTCGTCTCTTTCTTTGACAACAACCCCAGCATAATAAAACTGGGTGGTTTTTTGTTGAGAACTCACACACCACGCCGTGCTCTGCTGATGTTGTCTGGTCCACCTGCTTAGTGCCACAAGGTCCGATGACGTCATTTTTCCTGTACCTCTTTTGTATGTTTGTTGGCACTCATATGACCTTATGCAGTTGCGAGCGCCGTAAAACCTCTACTAAAACTGTATGTTTGTTCCACTCGTGTGACCTCTCTGTTGTCTGGTTGGCAATGGTGTTTTCTGTTCTGTTGTAAACGTTTGTGTTTTCTCCAGGGAGACAGCCACCTGAAGCCTTACCTGCCCATCATCCGAGACAAGCCGGTCTACCCAGTCATCTATGACAAGAACCGCGTGGTTCTCTCCATGCCTCCCATCATCAACGGTAAGCTTTTCGGCTTTTTATCACTCTCCATGCCTCCCATCATCAACGGTAAGCTTGTCTGCTTTTTACTTATTCCTTTCCCTTTGTTTCCTGTTTCATGTACTTGAAAACTTCCATGTACTCATGAACGGATAAATGCACCAAAATTGTAAATGTTAAACATCTCCGTCGATACAGTAGAGATATATTTGGAGATGCACTATTTGAGTCCTTCTCTTCAGAGCAAGTGCGGGCTTGGTAGGATGTTGTGTCCCTCAGAAATAGAGGGAGACTCTCGATTACAAATGTGAGGTGTGCTTACAAAATCCTTCTTTCCTATCAAGATTCAAATATCTATCATTCTTATCTCTCCTCCTTTTTTGTGTTTGTTACTCTCTTGTAACACCCCTAGTCTTCAGCACTTATATGACCTTATTGTGTTGCAAGTGCCGTAAAACTCTTACGAAAACTAAATTTTTCTCCCAAGATATTTGTTATGAGAATTACTTTTGTAGTGTCAGCATGTAACTTGTTGGCCGAGGTTTTGCTAAAAATTGTCAGTATTGTTTCCGCAGGTGAACATTCAAAGATCACCCTCAACACTCGCAATGTGTTCATTGAAGCCACAGCGACTGACCTGACCAAGGCCAAGATAGTGCTGGACACCCTGGTGGCAATGTTCTCTGTGTATTGTGAGGTCCCCTTTGAGTAAGTCACATTTTACTGAACTCTTTAAACCCCATCGGACGCTAGGAAAATCCTGCGATAATAACTATGTTCCCCATCGGATGCTAGGAAAATCCCGCGATAATAACTATGTTCCCCATCGGACACTGTGAACGTCCGATACTAGAAACAACTGTTTTGTTTCATTTAGAGCTAGTTTTTGCTCGTTTTCCGGAATTAGTACCAATCCAAGTTTTTTTGTAATGACTAAGCCTTTGTTTCCACTATTTAGAAGTTAGGCAAGCTTCTGAGGTTATAATGAGACGATAGTGCAACGGGTTGAGATGACTGTAGAAAAAACTCCCAGAAACGGTGGAAAAACTCAGGGTTTAAAGGGTTAAGAATGCCTGATTGCTTGTATGTGTGGATGAATATACGCTCATTGTTATATATACAGATTGTTGGTAGGAAGTACAGTTGTTCTTTAGAGTGAGTGTTTGTGTGTGTGTATGTGTGTATATGTATGTTGGTAAGTGTGTGGTAAATGATTTTTTGAGAAATACTGACAGTTTCAAAGAGATCTTCGCGCTAGAAGTATTCCAAAATGTGAAAAATACAACCCCAGGGTACAAAATGACCCCAGGGTGTACGGATAGGGTTAATTGGAAAGAGTATGGTATATTTAATATTTCACTAATCTTTCCCTTGAACTGGTCAAAGCTGGTGCTGTTTTGCCTTATTGTTATTATGTAATTGAACATGATACATAATGGTTGGATGGGGGTTTTTTTTTAACGAATTGTCCTGACTTGTTCTCAGAGTGGAGATGGCAGAAGTTGTCCAGCCTGACGGGACTGTGTGCAAGTACCCGGTGAGTGTGGGGCAAGGGATGGTCTTTGTGGGTGGTTGGTGGGTGCTCTGGTGGGGTTTGCTTCTTCTTTCCTCCTATCGAACATCTATCGTCCTGATCTCTCCTCCTTCTTTTTTATGTTTATTACTCTCATGTAACACCTCTAATCTTTGACACTTATATGACCTTATTGTGTTGCAAGTGCCGTAACACTCTTACTAAAACTAAGGAAAGGGTGAAGTCATTGCTTCTTATTCTTCTCTCGTTCCGTCTGTCTCCCTAGGAACTTGCCTACAGGACGGAGACAGTCAGTGCTGCACAGATTCGCAAACAAGTCGGAGCGGAGTAAGTCTATCCCCGTGGTTTTATGCACCCCGCATAATTTAGCAAAATTTGATCTTTTTTTGCATAATTTCTGATTGTTTTCCTTTATCATTCTTTGTTAGAATGAACAGAATCGCATAATTTCACATTTTTGGACCCAGTTTGCATAATTTCACAACTTTTCTTGCATAGAACGACAGGGATAGGTGAGTTGTGCTGAGAGTTGGGAGACAGGGATAGGTGAGTTGTGCTGAGAGTTGGGAGACAGGGATAGGTGAGTTGTGCTGAGAGTTGGGAGACAGGGATAGGTGAGTTGTGCTGGGAGTTGGGAGACAGGGATAGGTGAGTTGTGCTGAGAGTTGGGAGACAGGGATAGGTGAGTTGTGCTGAGAGTTGGGAGACAGGGATAGGTGAGTTGTGTTGAGAGTTGGGAGACAGAGATAGGTGAGTTGTGCTGAGAGTTGGGAGACAGGGATAGGTGAGTTGTGCTGGGAGTTGGGAGACAGGGATAGGTGAGTTGTGCTGAGAGTTGGGAGACAGGGATAGGTGAGTTGTGCTGAGAGTTGGGAGACAGGGATAGGTGAGTTGTGCTGAGAGTTGGGAGAGGGTCTCCACTACCAACAGTTATTGGTTCTTTGAATGGAAATGTTTTATTCCTCCATTTACACAGTTTAATTTAATCGTCTGGTGACTCCAACGAAAAAATTCTTTTAACTTTAACTTGGTTTATCAGCTGTGCACCCAAATTTCCATTAATAGCAGTCACTAAATGCTTGTAATTTTAGAGCAGTATAGTTTTCCTCAGTTGGGCATAGTTTCAGCTCCTGTTTGATTTACATAGTCCCCAACCAAAATATGTGAAAAAATGTATTTGGTACGTTTTTTAAAGTCTGGGTTCGCTAGTCCACTTTCTTGCTAGAAGATAACTGTTTTTGCAATTGTTTCACTTATTTTGGGCTCCCGAGGACGTTGAGATTGTTTCAGAATGCTGTCAGGTCTGTTGGGCTCATGACAGACAGGGTGTCTGTCGCTGCACTCCCCATGGGGAAAATACACTAGGCCTGCTCAGTGGCACCAAAGAGCGCCGGTATTATTATATTATTGAGAAGCAAAATAAAAACTGACCTGTGGAAATTCCCGATGACATGGTGCGTCTAGCGGGAGACACCCTGTACATTGTGAAAAGCATGGAATTTGCTGTTCAGCGGCAATTTGTGCTATGAATATACTGTTTTTTCATTATTATTATGATGATTATTTGTGAATTGATTGTGACAGGATCGCGTCGGCAGACATGGCAAAACTCCTGACCAAGATGTGCCTGCAGAGTAGTCTAGCCGCTGATGGAGACAGCCTCTCGGTGGAGATTCCTCCCACTCGCTCTGATATCCTTTTGTACCTCTTATCACAGTTAGCGGCTAGAAGTGGAACCAATGAATTGGAAAAAAAAGAATATTAATCCGGAATATTAATCTGCAGACAGGGAAAAGAGGCTAAAACCGCACCTGGACATGGATGGCTGGTGCCTCTATAAATAGAATTATTGATGGCCAAGGTCACAGTTAACGGTGGAATTTGTGGGTGGTTAGCCAGAGCTCTCGTGTGGTTTGCTCCTTCATTTCTGTCCAACATCTATTGTTCTTATTTTTTTTCCAAAACCTTTTGGATACCTGTTACTATCATTCATATTGTGATGGTTGGTCAGTCTGCAGAGAATAGACAAATGAAAGGGGCGCAGTCTTACCTTCTCACTCAAAGTCTCTCTCTCTCTCTCTCTCTCTCTCTCTCTCTCTCTCTCTCTGCTTAGCTGGAAATTTAAATCAAAGTCTGTGAACCCCGCGGGGCGGTGCCACTGACTGAAGTGTCTTTAGGCCATTCCCAAAGGGGGGGGGGGACATTTCTCGTTCTAGTGAACAGTAGAATTGTAAATGGGCTGATCAAACAATGTCATGCTCATAACTGTGCCTGAACTACAACAGGGAATTGCTGCTTTTTCTTTCTTAATCCTTACTATCGTCATTTTCCTCTACTTCTTTTGTATGTTTGTCACACTCTTGTGAACTGCTATTTTCGAGGTGCCTTGATAGTCGAAGCAGACTTTGTGGTTTGTTTCCTTGACACTGCGTCACATATTTTGCATCAGTGTGACATCATGGAAGATGTGGCCATCGCTTACGGTTTTGACAAGATTCAGAAGACTGTGCCCAACACAAACTGTATTGCTGAACAGGTGAGGGCAGTGGTCGGGGAATGTTTTTGCCTACAACTCTTAGGATAGTTTGAGAGCTCAACTCATTCACTACGTAATTTATTTCTCATTCTGACATAGTTTTTATTCTGGAGCTCTAAATAGCATATAAAGTGGGTGGTTGGTGGGTACTCTGGTGTGGTTTGCTTCTTCTTTCCCATAAAAAATCTATCGTCTTTATCTCCCCTCCTTCTTTTTTGTGTTTGTTGTTACTCTCTTGTAACACCTCTAACCGTCGGCACTTAAATGACCTTATTGTGTTGCAAAACTCTTACTAAAACTTTTTAAAATAGCATATAAAGTGCTTAGGGATATCATGAATCTTTTTTCTTTTTTTTTTTCTTTCATCGTTTTGTCCTTCATTATGTTGATGCATCAGCTGTGAAGAGAAATCTGCTCTTGAAGCTCTTCAATATATTGTATTTTTTCTTTAGAAATTGTTATTGGGAAAACTGAAGCTTTAGGGAAAGGTTTAGCAGTCCTGTGCGGTTTGTATTTTTTGGTCTTTATTTGGGTATCATTTATTCCTGCCATTAAAAGTTGTGTGTAAATGGTTGGCGGACGCTCTAGTGTGGTTTGCTCCTTCTTTCCTTACTTACTTGCTTGGTTGGAGAATAGGCGTCATTGCAGGCCGCACAATGCCATAGCTGCTCCTCCTTTTCCTGCTGATTGTGCATTCTTTTCAACCAAACGTCTATCTTCCTTAAATCTTTCCTTCTTTTCGAGGTTTGTTACTCCTTTGTAACACCTGTAATCTTTGGCACTTATATGACCTAATTGTGTTACAAGTGCTGTAAAACATATACTAAACTAGAATGTTGTTAAGAGTTGTGTGTTTTATTTCGCAGTTCCCGCTGAACAAACTGTCTGATCTGTTGAGGAGGGACGTCGCCGCCTGCGGCTTTACCGAGGTTCTCACCTTTGCCCTGGTGAGTGAGGGGAACTTTGGCAGGAGATGGAATACCTTATGCAGTTGCGAGCGCCGTAAAACCTCTACTAAACTAAACTAGGAGAGTTTGTAGACAAGAAAAAATGAGTTGATTTTGAAAGGCTAAGAAATGATCAGACTAAAGTAGATTCCTTTAGAATGCTGTACATAGTTATAAAACCACCTGGTTTCCGCAGAAAAATTTTGGTACGGTACGTCATCATCGTGAGCACAGATTTTTCATGGAATACCTATCTGTAGGGAAAGAGTTTAATTAGCATGTCTGTCCCCGCGGTTTTTTATGAACCCCCACATAATTTAGCAAAATTTGAACATTTTTTGTATAAATTCTAATTATTTTCCTTTATCAGTCTTTTAGTTTTTAGTTTTAGAAGAGGTTTTACGGGGCTCGCAACTGCATAAGGTCATATGAGCGCCAGTTTATCATTCTTTGTTAAAATTAACAGAATTGCATAATTTCACTTTTTTGGGGGGAGGCATAAAACCGCGGGGACAGGCAAGACATGACGCATAGTTTGTTTAGCTTTATGATCAAAGTCTGTGTGTTTATAGTAACCAGAGTGGGTGGTTGGCAGGTGCTCTGGTGTGGTTTGCTCCTTCTTTCCTATCAAACATCCATCGTCCTGATCTCTTCTCCTTCTTTTTTGTGTTTGTTACTCTCTTGTAACACATCTATTCTTCTGCACTTATGTGACCTTATTGTGTTGCAAGTGCCGTAAAACTTTTATGCAAATATTTTTTTTAAAGTAACCAGTGATAACAAATTTCTCTCATAGTTTGTTTAGCTTTATGATCAAAATCTCTGTGTTTATAAATAGTAACGAGTGACGGCAAATTTCCCTCCAGTGCTCTAAAGCCGATGTGGCCGACAAGCTTGGGAAGAAGATCGAGGACGCGAAAGCTGTGCACATTTCTAACCCCAAGACAGCAGAGTTTCAGGTGAGTCCGAGTTGCTCATCGTGTCGGGACGTGCGATTTGTCGTAGTAGAATGTGTCCTGTGATCGTATGACCTTATGCAGTTGTGTATACCAGACTGTTTATCAGTGAAATGAGGTTACTCAGTGGTCTATCGTATCCATACGATGTGGGGAACTCTGTGCCATCACTTTCCTAAGAGGAAATTTACTCGTTAATCCAATCCGTACACTTTGCATAGCAGTCTGTCAAAGTGATTCTTTTAGAAATACTGAAAGTTTCAAAGAGATCTTCGTACTAGAAGTATTCTAAAATGTGAAGAATACAACCCCAGGGGTACAAAATGACCCCAGGGTGTACGGATAGGGTTAATCTAAAAACAGTGGTATGTTAAGTTGAAGGAAAATGGAATAATTTGTTGTTGTTGTTGTATTTGAGCAACCTCTCTGAACGGAAAACTTGGCTAACCTGAAGAAATTCTCTGGCCATCCCGCAAATTTTAGTTTAAGCGGACTCCACTATATATTCGATATGATGATGCCTTCTTTGAAACTTATTGAAAACTTCAGATTGCCAGGACAACTTTGCTGCCCGGAGTTCTGAAGACGTTGTACCACAACAAAGGGATGCCCTTGCCGCTGAAGCTCTTCGAAATCTCGGACATCGTTTATCAGGATCCTTCCAAAGGTGAGATACGATGTTATCACAAATTAGTGCTTTCCCTAAGCTGAAATGACTTATTGGCAGTCATAAGTGCAGCTGGATATATTTATATTGTATGATCTATTTTTTCAAATAATAATAATAATAATATATAACATTTATATAGCGCATTTCCAAAAAAAGTAGCTCAATGCGCTTTACATTGGAATACCCATTTTTCAAAAACCTTTCTTACCACTTCCTTTCTTCCCAAGCAATATACATTAATGCACACACACACACACACACACACACACACACACACACACACACACACACACACACACACACTCACACAGACTATTTTCATCCAGACATAGGAACAGAACAACTATAATGAAAGATAACATTAAAAGCTTATGAAGGATAGGCCTGTAGGAACAGAAAATGTTTAAGATGTCTTTTGAAGCTATCAAGTGTTCTTATTTGTCTTAGTTTCATGGGTAATCTGTTCCACATAAATGGACCAAGATATGAGAAAGATCTCTCTCCATATGATTTGTATGATTTTACAGGTGTCACAAGTAGGGTGTTATCGTTTGATGATCTTAGGTTTCTCCCTGGTTTATATATACTGATAAGTTCTTGTAGATAAAAAGGAGCAGTTTTATTTACACATTTGAAACACATGACGCAGATTTTAAATATTATTCGTTCTTTTACAGGGAGCCAATGCAGTTCTTTTAATAATGGAGTGACATGGTCTCGTTTTTTAGATCTTGTTATCAGTCTAGCGGCATTGTTTTGAATGACTTGTAAACGATTCAAATATTTGTTGTTCAGACCTGCTAGGAGTGAGTTACAATAGTCTAATATAGATAGGATAAGAGATGTTACCAGTGTTTTTGTGGTCTCTTCGTTTAAGTACTTTCGAACTAGGCCTATCCTTCTCAGCTGAAAATAAAGGGATTTGGACAGAGATCCTACAAACGAGCCCATTGATAAGTGTTGGTCAATATATACACCGAGATTCCTGACTTCTTTACTAGATGTCATATGCCCATATAAATCAAAGTTGACACTTTCCAGATCTTTATTTAATCGTGGATTTTTTATAAGAATGATATCTGTCTTTTCTTCGTTTAGTTTCAATTTGTTTATTTACTCAGTTATAAATTAAAGACTTGTGTTTGGAACTTGCATGCCTGTTGTATCAATTGGACTACTGATTTCCATGAAAGCAGTTTCATTGTACATTTCCTACAAGTTTTTCTTTGTAACAAACGACTGGATTTTTCTTGACTTTATTACTTGTTTATGCCGTGTCCATCTTTCTATGTAGTGAATTGTTGGAGGTTGTAAGTGAGTGGTTGGCGGGTGCTCTGGTGTCGTTTGCTCCGTCTTTCGTATCAAACACATATCGTCTTTATCTCTCCTCCTTCTTTTTTATGTTTGTTACTCTCTTGTAACACCTCTAATCTTCAGCACTTATATGACCTTATTGTGTTGCAAGTGCCGTAAAATACTTACTAAACAAAACAAAAAAACTCTTCCCTGTGTTGCTCTGGACAGATGTCGGCTCCCGCAATGAGCGCCACCTGTGTGCGGTCAACTACAACCGCTCGTCGGAGTTTGAGGTGATCCACGGCCTGCTGGACCGCGTCATGCAGCTGCTGGAGGTGCCGTTTGGCGGGCCCGACGGATACCGCCTGGAGGCTGACACAGGTCAGTCACCCGAACTTTTGCTTCTTGTCAAATTCTTGTAATATCACTTGACCGTTCACATTTTTCTATTAATCAGGTGGCGTCAATATCATAGAAATGGGCAAGGGACCAAAAACCCCCCCAAAACTTGACCGTTCAGTTCAAGAATCTCGTACGCCACATATTTTTAAAAAGTCGACTTTTTTGCTTTTCGATGGCCGAAGATCTGCCTCTGTCCCACATCTTTTCGATGCAAGGATCTGGCTTTTAGATTTAAATTTACAGTCCGATCCTCACATGGAAGACATATATGAGGGAGGAAGATGTGCAGTCAAGGAAAAGCGAAAAAAGTCAATTTACTGAACCGTTAGACTGTATGTTTATGTCATGTACAGTCGATCAACCACATGACCCACACGACCACCTGACCCACACGACCACCTGTACAAATGACCACTTTCCACTTCTTCCCATCCTTCCCCCCCTCCCCGCCCTCCTTCCATTTTTTCTTTATTGCGACACTGTGCAAGATGACCATGGGTGGTTGGCGGGCGCTCTGTTATGGTTTGCTCCTTCTTTCCTATAAAAAAATCTATCGTCTCTGTCTCCTCTCCTTCCTTTTTGTGTTTGTTACTTTCTTGTAACACCTCTAATCTTCGGCACTTATATGACCTTATTGTGTTGCAAGTGCCGTAAAACACTTACTAAAACTAAACTAAACGTGATTTGACAACTTTCAACTTGCATGTTTTCAGTGCAAAATAACTGTTGTTGAGCCTGTGTGTTTCTCTGTAATGCAAAGAAGTGTCTGTGGTTGAAATATATATATATGTATATACAAAATTTATTTTAAAATGAAACTCATATTTCTACATTTTTGTTTCGCCGGCAGATCCCACCTTCTTTCCCGGCCGCTGTGCCAAAATCGTGGCCAGAGATCGGGTTATAGGTCATCTAGGCACCCTTCACCCTGACGTTATCTCAAACTTTGACCTCAACATGCCCTGCTCGGCCCTGGAGATCACTATTGAACCATTCTTGTAGAATTTTCACACTCCCATATGTAATAATGTCTGCTGCCATTTTATTTGGGGTTTTTTTCCATTGGTTTTTTTTTTGGGGGGGGGTTTGTATGTTAGAGAAACTAAGTGAACTGGAATCCTTGAAGAAAACAGTAAATGGAGGTGCTTTAGTAAAGTCTGGTCTTCTATTAATAGTCTCAGACCATTTAGGTCTTTTTTTTTCAACTTTCTGTGAGTCATGATTGTTTTCTTTAGTTTTAACATATATATATATATATATATTTTAATATATATATAAGTGCAGAAGATGAGAGGTGTAACTTAAAGAGTAACAGGAACAGATGAGAAGGAGGGGAAGAGAGTGGCAATAAATGTGTGACAGGAAAGGAGCAAACCACATCACCAGAGCATCCACCAACTACTACTGGCTGGCCATGTTTGTCTCCGTGGGTCCCATCTTTTGTAACATTCTGTTTGATCAGAAACTCTGTCCATGTTGAATCGTGTAGTGTTCACCCTTTTCTCACATTAGCTTCTCTCGTTCTGACTGCAAGTTTCTATTTCCATAGCTTTTGGAGGGGAGTGCTTTCCACAGTTTATGAATGATTAGTACTGGTACTAATTTTAGGACAAATCCAACCCCTTTTCTTTAGGGTAATCTTCTTCTCCTCTAAGATTAGGTATAATTTTCTTCTCTGAGATTAGGTATTATTTATTACTGATTAACGTCAATTAGATAAATAATGCATATAAATTTTACTTTGGTTTCTTACAAGATGCCATTCTTCAGGGTTCCTTGCTCTTGCTTTACTCTCTCCTGGTTTCTCTCCCCATTCCCACGTTTCTGCTGGCCCAAATGGTTGAATAAAAAGAAATTAGACAGTGGAAAATACCTCAAACCTTAACCCTATCCGTACGCCCTGGGGTAATTTTGTACCTCCGGGCTTGTATTTTTCACAGTTTAGAATACCTCTAGAAAGAAGATCTCTTTGAAACTTTCAGTATTTCTCAAAAAATCCTTTTCACAGACTGCTATGAAAAGCTTACGGATCTGATTAACGAGTAAATTTTGAAACTTTGAAAGTGATGGCACAGAGTTCCCCACGTCGTATGGATACGATAGTAAAACACGACGTACGGATAGGGTTAAGTGGTGGCAGAGAGTTCCCCACGTCGTATGGATACGTTTGTAAATCTCGACGTACGGATAGGGTTAAGATCTGGTCGGGAAGAGCTATTGGATTATTTGAGCAGTTGGAAAAGTTGAGGCAATCGTACTACTTTGCTCTTTTGGCATCTTGCAAGACACAAAGTGTCCCCTTTCTCCATTCTAGGGGTACAATACACGGCATATGGTAAAAATGTCAGATGAGAATTTATTGTAACTACTCTTCACATTGTATCAGAATGACTACTCACATCCTGTTTTTCATTGCACCACGTGCATTCTTCCTATTTCTTTTCACTGAGAATATATATCACAGTGTAAAAAAAAAATAATCCAACTGTTTGCTTTAGTTTGCGGCAGTTAGCTTAATTTTCTCTACTGGTTGATAATTTATTTGGAATGAGTTCCTCGTGATCATATTTTTTTTAGCTTGTTATTTTGTTTTCTTGTGAGAAAATGAGAGAATGTGGGCTAAACAATAAATATTTTCTGCGTATTTCACGGGAGTTTTTTGTGTGTTTCTGATTAGAAGTGGTTTCTTACGATCCTTTTCTATATAGTTTATGTACCTGCAAGTGAGACAAAGAAGCTATCATCATAATCATCCAGTGCCTTGCCGACTGGCGTGGGCGATCATGGACCTCCACTTCACTCTGTCTTGCGTTGCAGCGATGGTGTCTGTTGTTCTTACTGCTCCCAGCCATGTTGTCAACTTGTCCAGTATCTTTTCCCTCTGTCTGCCTCTGCCTCTCTTTCCGTCAAACTTGCCTATTGTTACAAAATTATTCTCCAATGCTTCTTTCTGCATTGTGTGTCCAATGAAATTTGCCTGTCGCTTTCGTATATTCGTCATAAGCTGTCGTCTGCAATTTGCTTCAACCAAGAAGCCATAAGTACCGTATATCATCGAGTATTCGATTCATCCGTGGATAAAACTCGTGTAGACGAGAGCCAAAATTTGGATTTAAAAGTCATCTAGGCTGTGCATTGGATAATTATGTCCAAAACCTAACACGGTCACTGCGCAAAAAAGGTTTGTGATCTCCACAAAACCAATAGTTCCTAAACACAATACTAATGATGGGTGGTTGGCAGGTGCTCTAGTGTGGTTTGCTTCTTCTTTCATATCAAACATCTATCGTCTTTATCTCCCCTCCTTCTTTTTTCTGTTTGTTACTCTCTTGTAACACCTCTAATCTTCGTCACCTTATTGTGTTGCAAGTGCTGTAAAACTCTTGCTGAACTAAAACTAACCCTTTTAGTTTGAGCCCTTGAGACTCCCTTTATGCCTAGACACTAGTACAGCAGTGAGCCAGGCCTTATCTCTAACCCAGCCAGTCTGGGACGAAACACACAGGGAACACAGTGTTTACTACACAGGACCTTATTGATTACATGTGTATTTTGAAGATCTTTCTGGACTAGATGCTGGTAATGACGAGTACTATCCTGAGTGGGATATGGAAAGTGAATAGATGCTGGTAATGACGAGGACTACCCTGAGTGGGATATGGAAAGTGAATACTGATGATCTTATGGATGTTTGTTAGTAATATATATATCGCTCAGGAGCTCAGACAGAGAGGCATGGTAGCCTCAGGAGCTCAGGCAGAGAGGCACAGTAGCCTCAGGAGCTCGGGCAGAGGGGCACGGTAGCCTCAGGAGCTCGGGCAGAGGGGCACGGTAGCCTCAGGAGCTCGGGCAGAGGGGCACGGTAGCCTCAGGAGCTCGGGCAGAGGGGCACGGTAGCCTAGGGAGGTCAGGGCTAACTGCGATCCCATCCGTAGTGGGCACCCCGTATTGAACCTATACCATTTTCACCCGCGCGTCAGCAGCAAATCACTCAAGAGTTGAGGACTCCTGTTTGCTTTGACTCGTGCAGCTGTGAATCTATTTTGTGGGTGCTTGGCGGGTGCTCTGGTGCGGTTTGCTCCTTCTTTCCTTCTATCAAACATCTATCGTTCTTATCTCCCCTTCTTCTTTTTTATGTTTGTTACTATCTTGTAACACCTTTCTTCGGACACACAATACGGAAAAAAACGTTGGAAAATATTGTAACAACAGGCAAGTTTGGTTGAAAGAGAGGCAGAGGCAGGCAGAGGGAAAAGATACTGGACAAGATGACAACATGGCTAGGAGCAGCAAGAACAACAGACATGCTGAGTTCTGTAAGAGTGAGTGTGATGAGTTCTGTAAGAGTGTGAGTGTGATGAGTTCTGTAAGAGTGTGATGAGTTCTGTAAGAGTGTGAGTGTGATGAGTTCTGTAAGAGTGTGATGAGTTCTGTAAGAGTGTGAGTGTGATGAGTTCTGTAAG